TCATTGTGGGAATGCAGCATTGAAGATAATTATTAATAATAATAATATTAATAATAATAATAATAGATACTAGCAAACAAGATCTCAACATTAAACTCATGGAAACTCAAAGCACCAAAACAACTGTTGCTTAATGAGGTGTTTATGGTATATAAATTAGGAAGCTGTGATAAGACATTTTAGGTGAATTACTAATAAAAATGTATGCTACTGAAATATAATTTAGAGCAAGAACAGTGTATTTTATTTACACAGACTGATTTATTTATTATTTATTTAAATTCTATATTTTTGTCAAGCATTAAGTAGGCAATACAATGCATCAAGGTTAAAACATTACATACGGTACTTGGATGTCAAAAACTGAAAAAAATGAAATATATAGCACATTACAGTTGAAAGAACATTTTTATGTACAGAGCTTGTAACCAGTCAACAGAAAGCAGAGGACACCATGCTATGCAGTTGTTTTCAGTCATCCAGCATGAATGTCTTGAGTAATAATGAGAGGAAAAAAAAAGTTTAAAAAAAAGACCATACAAGAACAAATATGACCCTACTACTGGAAATAAAAGTTATATCAGTTGTACCCTTCAGTATGAGAGTTGCCTCGGTTATCTAGGCCAAGTAGACAACCAATAATCACTTCCCCAGAGCAAGAAGCCATGACCTCAGTCCCCCCATTACAAACCCAGCTGCCCCCATGAGGCCCACATTTTTCAAAGGATTTAAGCTGTGAACTTATCCATCAAATAGTTTTCAAATATCCTGTATTTAACTTCTGTCAGACAAGGCTCTATATCACATAATCACATAGCCATTTTTGCCACCAGGGCTCTACGAGCAGCCAATATAATTCTATTAACTAGTTTTTGTGAATGATTCGGCAAACCCTCCAGTGGTTTAGCCACTAAGTACTAGGTCTAGGCCAAATGGTCTGCTGAACACCCTGATCAGTAAGTCTCAGACACTTTCCCAGAACTGCATCAACCTAAGATTGGCTGCTCAGGTTAGGGACACAATATAGACATTCAATAAAATATGAAACCTATGGGTGACTAGCAACGTGAGCATGGGCGTCCTCAGGAATTTTTCCAGGGGGGGGCATAATTTTAATGACATCAATGCTTGGCCCCTTTTTGACAGTGTCATGAAGGGGAGGAGCATAGTCATTATCACATAAAGACAGGGTGAAAAGCATTTTCACAACTATGGTGTCAGGAATACATGTTTGTTTTCCTGACACTATAGTGTTCCTTTAATCAAATTAAAGGAACATTCTGATCATCATAACAACTTCATTTAAAAATGATCTGAAAATGCTATGATGCAAGGAGGCCCCTGTGTGCTCTCTTTCCTTTAAGGGGTGAAACCGCTCTCAAATGGTTTAACCCCAAAGGCTTTCTCCAGGTCGCTCAGTGGTATTCAGCTTCTGAAACGGAGTGTCAGGAAGTGCAGATTGACATCAGGCATGGGTGCCGCTGATTGGCTAGAGTGGTCAGCTGACGCTCTAAGCCAATCACTAGTTCCTGATTCATAAAAATGTTTTAAGTTTTTATGAATGGGGAGCTACTGATTGCCTTAGAGTGCCAATCTTAGCCAATCAGAGGCACAGCTACCTAGCGGCCCTCAGTGTTTCCTGACACTCAGTAAAGAAAAGTGAACACATTATCATTGATATTTTTCTTACCTGGGGAGATGAGAAGGTCCAAAGTTTCCCTGTCAGGCCCAGGTACCAAACCCTTATGATGTGGTGTCCAGAATGAAGTGGAGGGATCACTCCATTTGTCCTTCCTGCTCCAATCTCATTTTCTTCTCCTTCATTTGACACAGTCTTCTTTTTCTTCTGACATGGTCTTCTCTCCTCCTTGGCTCCTTCTGCTCCTTTCTGCTTATTTTGCGCCCTTCTGCTCCTTTCTCTTTCTGATCCCTTTCTTCTCCTTGCAGACCCTTCCTTCTCCTTGCTGATCCCTCCTGCTCCTTGCTCTCCCTTCCTGCTCCTTGCTGAGCCCTCCTGCTTCTTGTTGCTCATTTCTATTCCTTTTCCTACTTTACCTTTGTGCTCCTTCTGCCCCTTCCAGATCATTGTTGACCCTTTCTGCTTCTTGATTTCCCTTCCTGCTCATTTCTGTTCCTTCTCCTTTCTGCTCCTTGATGGTCATTACTGCTCATTTCTGTTCCTTCGCCTTTCTGCTCCTTCTCCTACTTTACCTTTGTACCTTTGTTCCTTCTCCTTTCTGCTCCTTCTGATTTTTTATGCTCCTTTACATTTGTGCTCCTCCTGTCCCCTTCCTGCTCTTTGCTGCCCCTTCCTGTTCCTTGTTGCTCATTTCTATTCCTTGTGCTCCTTTTGCCCCTTCCAGATCATTGTTGACCCTTTCTGCTTCTTGATTTCCCTCCCTGCTCATTTCTGTTCCTTCTCCTTTCTGCTCCTTGATGTTCCTTACTGCTCATTTCTGTTCCTTCTCCTTTCTGCTCCTTCTCCTACTTTACCTTTGTACCTTTGTTCCTTCTCCTTTCTGCTCCTTCTGATTCTTTATGCTCCTTTACATTTGTGCTCCTCCTGTCCCATTACTGCTCTTTGCTGCCCCCTTTCTGCTCATTCTCGTACTCTACCTTTGTGCTCCTTCTGCCCCTTCCAGCTCATTGCTGTCCCTTTCTGCTCCTTCTTCTACTTTAGCTTTGTGCTCCTTCTGATTCTTTCTGCTCTTTTACATTTGTGCTCCTTCTGTCCCTTCCTGCCCCTTTCTGCTCCTTGCTGACTATTTTTGCTCCTCGCAGACCCTTCCTTCTCCTTGCAGACCCTTTCTGCTCATTTCTGTTCCTTTCAGCCGCTTCCAGATCATTGCTGACCCTCATTGCTCCTTGATGTCTCTTCCTGCTCATTTCTGTTCCTTCTCCTTTCTACTCCTTCTCCTACTTTATCTTTGTGCTCCTGATTCTTTCTGCTCCTGCACATTTTTGACTCATTCTGTCCCTTCCTGCTCCTTGCTGCTACTTAGACCCTTTCTGCTCCTTCTCCTACTTTACCTTTGTGTTCCTTATGATTCTTTCTGCTCCTTTACCGTTGTGCTCCTTGCTGCCCCTTCCTGTTCCTTCTCCTTTCTGCAACTTCTCTTACTTTATCTTCCTGCTCCTTGCTGTTCTTTTTTGCTCCTTCTCCTACTTTACCTTTGTGCTCCTTCTGATTCTTTCTGCTCCTTTACCATTGTGCTCCTTCTGTCCCTTCCTGCCCCTTTCTTTTTTTTTCCATGTTAATTTTTTTATTGAAATTTTTTAGCAGACAGAAAAACAAAACATAACAAAACAACAATAAACAACCATTGGGGGTACAAAAGCAAGAAAAACAAAAACAAAAGGGAGGGAATACAAAAAGCTATCATAAGCTAACATAAGTAGTGTAACACAGTGTGGCGGAACCAACCTCGCCACTGGCCACTGGAGGAGCCTGGTTGCTCGTCTGCTCCCTTTAGATTATGGCCCCATGTTTAACACTGTTCTTTATCCCTGCAGAAAGGCTGGTTCATGCCTTTCTGCGGACTGTTAGAGTCACAAACACCGCTGAGCCGCCGACCTCCTTTCTCCTACCTGCAGTCAATTATCCGAACACCAGTCCATTCGGTACTTTACTGTTTAAACCATGGAACCCCAGATAGCTATGCCATGGAGCCCAGCCGTATACTGAAAGACTGTATAAAAGACTTTGGCTCCATGGCTATTGAACTGTATGTATGTGATCTGAGCGCCATGCGGTAGTAATGGGCGCTCAGATCTAAGCTATCTGGGGATAGGTAGAATATGTATGTTCTATGTGATAAATGTAACAGTATGTATTTTTATGTTTTTTATTGTCCTTTGTCCGCCATGTGGTTAATGGAGTTTTGCCTCTGTCCTTGGAGATAATTGGATTACTTCCCAATTATCTCCAGGACAGAGAGGAGGGATTGTGATGCATTGTGGGATTGTAATCTTGTGATTGGTCAATGTCCAATATGTATCCCAGTCTTCCATCTGGTCCCCTAGGGGAGTGTCCACCAGGTGGGAGACCTGCATAAAAGCCGGGCAGATAGCCCTACCTTCTATTTTATTTGCTATTCTCTCAAGTTGACATGTTTTAACTCTTTCTTGTACCTCCAAAATATTCGGTGGGGTCTTTTTTTTCCAATTTTGAGCAATACTTATTTTAGCAGCTAATAATATATGTATAATTACTGTCTTATTTTTTATTCGACACCAATCTTGATGTATATGTAAAAGAAAAAACTCAAGATTCAGTATTAATGTGCCCATTAAATTTTGAATTATTAATTTAATTTTATTCCAAAATTTTACAAGATAAGGACACTCCCAAAAAATATGTAATAAGGTACCCTTGTTCCTTTGACATCTCCAACATATATCAGAGGTGCCTTCATACATTTGGGACAGTTTTGCGGGAACTAAGTAACAACACATTAATATTTTACTATAGGCTTCCCAGTGGGTAAAACTGTTTTTGGTTTAGTAGCTTTAATAGCTTGACATAGGCGTGCGCACGGGGTGTGCCGGGTGTGCCTGGGCACACCCTAATCCCCGTGGCACGCCTATGGTTTGAGTCCTGCAGGAACAGCGTCCCTGCACTTTTTTGAGCAGGAACGCTGTTCCTGCAGACACTCAGCACCCCCTGTCTCACCTCTTGCCCCTGTCATGGGAGGGCAAGAGGTGATCGATCCCCCCCCCCTCTCTCCAGCTCAGCCGCGGCGAGGGAGCTCTCTGCTGTCTGCGCTCTGCTTCCTCTCGCCGCACGCTGATGCCGGAAGCCTATTCCGGCTCCCAGCTCGAGCAGACAGCCCGCGCGGCGAGAGGAAGCAGAGCGCAAACATCACACAGCTCCCTCGCCGCGGCTGAGCTGGAGAGAGGCGCCCGCCCCACTGGACCCCAGGGACAAGTCCACGCCAGCACTCCAGGTAGGAGGCTGGGTGGACATTTTTTTTTAATTAAAATGTAATAATTTGTTCTTATGTGTGAGTGTGTCTGTGTGAGTGTGTGTGTCAGTGAGTGTGTGTGTCTGTGTGAGTGAGTGTGTGTGTCTGTGAGTGTGTGTGTCAGTGTGAGTGAGTGTGTCTGTGTGAGTGTGTGTGTGTCTGTGTGAGTGAGTGTGTCAGTGAGTGTGTGTGTCTGTGTGAGTGAGTGTGTGTGTCTGTGTGTGAGTGTGTGTGTCAGTGTGAGTGAGTGTGTCAGTGAGTGTGTGTGTCTGTGTGAGTGAGTGTGTGTGTCAGTGTGAGTGAGTGTGTCAGTGAGTGTGTGTCTGTGTGAGTGAGTGAGTGTGTCAGTGAGTGTGTGTGTGTGTGTGTGAGTGTGTCAGTGTGAGGAGTGTGTCTGTGTGTGTGCCTGTGTGAGTGAGTGTGTGTCTGCAGGAGTGTGTGTGTCTGTGGTGTGTGTGTCTCGTGAGTGTGCCAGTGTGAGTGAGTGTGTCAGTGAGTGTGTGTGTCTGTGAGAGTGTGTGTCTGTGTGTGAGTGTGTGTGTGTGTACAAGTGAGTGTGTGTCTGTGTGAGGTAACAGTGAGTGTGTGTGTGTGTGTCTGTGTGAGTGTGTGTCTGTGAGTGTGTGTGTCTGTGAAATGTGTGTGTGTGTTGTGTGTCTGTGTGAGTGTGTGTTTGTGTGCCAGTGTGTCTGTGAATGTATGTGTGCTGAGTGTGTGTGTGTGTGTGTGTGTGTGTGAGTGTGTGTGTGTGTGTGTGTTCTGAATGTGTCTGTGAGTGTGTGTGTGTGTATGCATATATATGTATATATATATATACACACACACACACGCAGAGCCGGCGCTATCTGAGTGCCGGCTCTGCTCTAAGCCTCCATGGGCCGGCGGGGAGACCAAAGATCTACCTCACCGGCCCACAGCAGCATGGAGGGAGGCAGGAGAGGACCCAGGGAGCTCTAGACAGAAGCTCCGCCAGGTTCCTCTCGTGATATCTGAGTGTTGCTGCGGCAACGCTCAGATCTCGCGAGAGTTAACTCTAGCCCTGCAGGCTAGAGTTCACTCTCCACTGGACCACCAGGGATGGCACATGGCAGCAAGGATTTACTAATCTGCCAAATCCCTCCAAACATACAGCACACACACATACAGCACCTACACACATACAGCTCACACACACACAGTACACTAACCACACCCTCACAAACACACACAGCACCTTTAAAAAAAACGCAACACCCTCACACACAGCACACTAACAGCACCCTCACAAACACACACACACACACACACACAGCACCCTCACAAATACACGACACTCACACAAACAGCACCCTCACAGGACAAACAGCACAGTCACAAACACACACACACACACATACACACAAACACCCTCACATCACACTAACAGCACCCTCACACACACATCACACTAACAGCACACACAGCAGTGTGTGTGTGTGGATATATCTATCTATCTATATATATATATATATATATATATATAGATAGATAGATATATCCACACACACACACACACACACGCGGCGTGTGTTTGTGCTTTAGGGTGCACACCCAAATGCAATAGGCTGCGCACGCCTATGTAGCTTGATACTAATCATATACATCAAAGGATTTTAACATGTCTCGTTCCCAAAGTAGCATATATGGCAGCTTTTCTTTTTTACATCAAAAAGAGTTTTATAACACATTGACAGAGGTTTTCCCCCCATATTAGGACTTAAACAAAATTTACCAAGCCGGGTCAATAAAGCTTTATCCAATTTTGACACCTTATTTTCTAACAAAACATTCTTAATCCTTAAATAAGAAAAAACCTCTTGAAAGGGAAAGCTCTGCCTGCACATTAACATATGATTTGATCCCTACCTCATCATATAGCATATTTACCTTACTAATCCCTTTATTCTCCCAAGTAGTCAAATTTAAATCTTGTGAAAGATGCATTATTGCATTTAATGGTGCTAAAGATAAGAACTTCTCGCCCTTTAGCAGTTTAGGAGCCCATATTGACCAATAATAAAGCAGTAGTTTAGTGGTAGGAAGCATATTCCTTCCCATAAACATATTCATTAAGGTCTTCCAAAGAAGACCTTCTACCGAGTGAGGTTTAGCACATGCTTGCTCCAGCTTTAACCATAATGGTCGGGTTGATCGAAAAAGTACTGCCAAGCCACCGCACAGCAAGGAGGCCTGATAACATTTAACAATATTAGAAATACCTAGTCCGCCTTGTAAATACGGAAGCTCTGTAAGCCTAAATGCGACCCTTGGCGTTTTTTTTTCCCATATGTATGAATTAAACATGTGTTGAAATTATTTTAATATATTTTTACAGACGGCTGTAGGAATAGTACGGAAAAGTAACAACATATGGGGTAATGCCATCATTTTTATTGTATGTACACGGCCTAGCCAAGAGATCTTCAATGCCCCCCATTTGCTCAAATGGGTTCCTAATTTATGTAATAAAGAAATATGATTATGTTTAATTAGGAGTAAACTAGATTTAGTCAATTTTATACCTAAATATGTAAGAAAATCTTTGCGCCAATCAAAAGAATAAGTACATACTAATTGGTTAATCTCCATTTTATATAGGCCCAATGGTAATGCTTGGGTCTTTTTAACATTGTTTTTATAATAAGAAATTGCACTATATCTGTCCAGCAATTTTTCCAAGTGCCATAATGACTCATTAGGTTTTGTTACAAATAAAAGCACTTCATCAGCAAAAAGGGCTATTTTTTGTTCACCCGCCGGTGTTTGTGAACCACATATGCCAGTATGTTGTTTTATGTGTCTAATCAACGGTTCCAAAGTAATTATAAAAATCAGTGGAGAAAGTGGGCACCCCTGGCGTGTTCCATTTGAAATCTCAATTTTAGGTGATGAAAACCCAGTATTCATAACCTTTGCTGACGGTTTGGTGTATAATGCCATAATACCATTTACAAAAGTTTGAGGAAAATTTAATTTCTGAAGGACATGTTCCATATAACCCCAATTCAAGTGATCGAACACCTTTTTAGCATCCAAGGCGAGCAAGACCCCTTGTTGATTATTATTTCGTGCCCAATCTATAAGATTAATATAATGTCTTGTATTATCCCCAACTTGTCTGCCTGGAACAAAACCAGCTTGCTCCTCTGAAATTAGTTCCAGTAGAATCGGGTTTATTCGTGACGCCAATACTTTGGCATAAATTTTTATATCTGTATTTAATAGTGATATAGGACTAAGATTGGCGCATTCTGTAGGTGATTTACCAGGTTTAGGAAGAATAACTATAAATGCCTCTAACATCTCCAAAGGTATCGAATTTGATATTTTAAACATATTAAATAACTTTGTAAGAAATGGTGTCAAAATAGAATCCAGCTTAATGTAATAGTAATTAGAAAAACCATCCGGACCTGGGGCTTTATGTTTAGGGAGAGACTGAATAGCTCTACTTATTTCCTCTTCTGTGAATGGTTCCTCCAATTTCTGTTGTTGGCACACAGAAATTTTAGGGAGGTTAATTTCCTCAAGGAATTTTTCTATTTCACAGCAATATGGCTGAGGTGTATTTAGATCTTCAATTAAATTATAAAGCTTCTTATAATAGCTTGCTAATTCACCTACAATATCTTTTGGATCAAATAATTTATAGTTATCCACCGAAACCATATAAGGGATTTTTGTTTGAAGATAATTTGACTTTAACATATTAGCTAGCATTTTCCCTGCTTTATTACTGTGAATATAAAATTTCATTTTTAATGCTCTCATTTGTTTTTCTGTTTCTGCTAAAGCCAATTGATCAAGTTCTTTCCTTACTTTAGCTATTTGACTTCCATGCAACTTATTTGGTTTAAGTTTGTTTTTGTTTTCTAATTTAGCTAATTCCTGAAATAGACGTAACCGATCCGCATACACTTTTCTTACAACTTGCACCTAATTTAATAAAAGTACCCCTTATAACTGCCTTTTGTGCCAACCATAATGAAGAACTAGCAATGTTATCCTTATCGTTTTCATAGAAATATTTAATAAGCTCCTCCTTAACTACTAAAAACATCTTGGCATCATCCAACATTGCCTCATTCATTCTCCAAGCGCCCATTCCCCGTCCCGGATACTTTGCTTGAAATGTAACTATAATTGGTGAGTAGTGATGTCCCAAACGGTTCGGCGAACGGTTCGCGAACGGTTCGTGACGGTTCGCCACGAACGGTTCGCCACGGACTCCAATCAGCAGACACATTCCAGCCAATCAGCAGCAGACACTCCCTCCCAGACCTTCCCACCACCTGGACAGCTCACTAAGAATGCAGCTTCAAAATGGATGTTGTCCAGGAGGTGGGAGGGTCTGGGAGGGAGGGTCTGCTGCTGATTGGCTGGAATGTGTCTGCTGACTGGAGTCCGTGGCAAACCGTTTGCAGCGAACCACGGCAAACCGTTCGCGAACCATTCGGCGAACCGTTCGGGACATCACTATTGGTGAGTGATCTGACCAAGTTTTAAGGCCTATATTCGCTTCTATTACATTATTCAGGGTAGATTTATCTACAATACACATATCTATCCTTGAATATGTCATGTGTGCAGAAGAGTAATACATATAATCTCTTCCAGTTGGATAGAGGCAACGCCAAGTATCATATAAATCATAATTATTAAACAGCTTTCTCAGTTTCTCACTGTTAGTAACCACCAAAGGATAAGGACTCCTTCCTTCTTTTCTAGAAATATCCATTGTTGAATCTAAAATTATATTATAATCGCCACATATTATAATGTGGCCCATCCGCTTCTCTGATATCTTCTTTAATGCTGTTTTTATAAATTTTATCTGAGAATTATTGGGGACATATAAAGAGACCAATATAATTTCGATCCCATTCAAAGAGCCCGCTAATATTAATGAAAATCCAATCTGCATGAATTAAAATTGCTACCCCTTTAGTTTTATTAGCTGAATAGGCATGAAACTCCTGTGGATAGTATTTTGTTTTTAAGCTGGGGGAATCCTGAGCTTTAAAATGTGTTTCCTGTAAACATATTACTGCTGCCTTAGATTTTCTCATTTCTTGGTACACCAACCATCTCTTATGAGGACTATTTAATCCATTAACATTCATGGGAAATATTCTAAATAATGTATCCATAATTTTTTTTTGGTTTTTTTTCCCCTCATTTCCTTATGCTTTCTTTTCTTTCCTCATTAAGCCATTAATTTTACTATAAACTAATCTTTGAGCATCATTATTTACCTGCTCCTTGCTTATGCTTGTGTTGTACCTCCCATTAGAATAAAAATAAAAATAGAAAGACTTGGAATAGGGGAGGCGTGTCCGACTTCCGTTTGAGAGGTCGGGTGAAGTCGCATGGAGTACGAGCTCCGACTCCTGCTCCCACTCAGCGTGGCCGAAGCAATATGCAAAATTTCGCAGAATGACAGAGAAGGTTGGTAGGACGGAAGGACTGCAGAGGAGCGGGCTGAAGCAGACTTAATGCACTAATTGTGTGCTGGCGGCGAAAAAGCAAAAAAAAGGCAAAAAAAGGTGAAAGGTTGAAATATATATGCATCAGGCTGTGAGCTCTGAACTAAAGACAACGAATTGCAACAAAGTATTCTATGAAGCGGTGAAGTGCAGTGCGCTGAGCGGTAACAAGTAACAATTTGGAAACAAACTTGCAAACTTGCAACAACTTGCGCTAATTTGCTGAAAAGTTTACCAAAGATCCTCTTGTGAATAAATGGCGCTGGCCAAACAAATGAAGCTGACAGATACTGTCAGAATGAGTAAAAGAGACCGCAACAAATTGGGCCAAGATGGTGTCACTGGCTGTATGCCTGGAAAGGAAAATATAGAGGCTACCACAGAGGCTATTACAGAGGCTACCACAGAGATTACTATGGAGGAGGAAGCTAATGGAAAAAACGGTTTCCGAAAAAAAGCTGTATAGCATGCTGCAGGACTTAAGCTCCACACTACAGGTAGACTTTAAAAAAATTGTTACTGATATACATAAGGAAGTGGTAGAGCTGGGTGAACGCACAGGGCAACTAGAGGTTAAAACCGATGATTTGTGCACTTCCCATAATGTGTTGACAGATAAGATACAAAACATAGAGGCTGAATATAAAGTGCTAAAATATAAGCTGGCAGCAACTGAAGATCAATCCCGCCGAAGTAATGTAAGTTTTAAGGGAATTACAGAGGCAGTTAGTGCGGAGCAATTGCCGGAGTATATTAAAAACCTCTGTAGAAAAATCGCTAATAATTCTGAGGAAACTGCATGGAATATGGACCGGGTGCATCGCCTCCCAAGACCCTTGCACCTTCCAGCAGATAAACCACGCAATGTAATTGCTAAATTTCATTATCCTAAATCCAAAGATCTGTTGTTGCAGTCGGGGAGAAAAGAGCCTAGTCTTCCTGTCCCTTATAAGGATATACTGATTTTTGCTGATTTATCTACATTAACCATTGCAAATAGGAGAGAATTTGCGAAGTTTACAAGAGTACTGAGC